GAAGCATAACTCGCCGAACTGCCGTAGCCCTTTATCCGAACTGTTTCGCACCTGTTCGTTCCCGCGAGCCCGTCCGCCTTGCGAACAATTTTGATCCTGCAACAAAAACTTTTCTGCAAAAAAAAAATCCTCTGCAAAAATCCTTAGAACTTTTTTTATTTTTTCCAAAAAAAAAAAAAATTGAAATCTTTGAGCAAAGAAAAAAAAATTTCCTCTCCGCCTCCAAGTAAAGAAATAAATATTCACTTTATTTTCTCTCCTTCTCAGCTAGGAAATTCTTAATTAAATTTGCTTAATTTAATTTAAAGCAATTTAATTAAAAAGCTTTCCTTTAATTTAAAGAAAAAAAGCTGCCAATTTTCGGATTCCTCCAATTTGGGCCTTCCTTTTCCTCCAACAGCAGAGGAATATTCCTCTAGATTCTTTGATTCCCTTGATCCTCCCGCCTGCAGAAAATGAAACAAGCTTTTCTCCGCTTCAGGAAACTCCCAGCAAAGGAAACAAATTTCTCCTCCGCTTTCTTGCCTTTTCTGGCCTTCTCCCGAAACCTCCGCTCCTTTCCTTTTCTCTGCACCGAACCTTCCTTCCCAGAAATCTCCTCCCGCGAACGCCGAACCTTACTTTGGCCAAATAACTGGATCTGGTTCGGTTCCTGAGCTCCTCTTCCTGCTGCAAAGGCCTCCTTCGTGATCCTTCGGCCTGCTCGTGAACTCCTATCACGCCGTTTGACGATTCCGAACCGAATCTGGAGCCCTTCGCGCAAAACCTCTGCGCCGAACCTCCGCCCGAACCCTAGCGAACCCTGGGGTTTTTTTTATTTTTTTTTTGCCGCCGAAAATTTCTTCCTGCCGTCGAACCAGTCTCTGATACCACTTGTTGAGAAAAATAGGGCGAAGAAAAACAAGAATCAACATAAACCAGAAGAACACAGAGATTTAACGAGGTTCGGCAAAGATGCCTACGTCCTCGGGAGCAGAGCGGCGACCTCCTTTTCAATATTCAGAAAAGATTACATAATAGAATATTCAGCTCTCTCAAAGACCTAGGATTACAAACAGGTCTATTTATAATCCTAGAATAAACCTTACAGTACAATATGTAATTCCCAAATTACCCCTGTACCGTATAGCGGGGCGTTGACCCAACACCCCCAACCCACATAACGTAACTTCCCGATTTGAACAGATTCTTCCGTTTCGCTCCGCTCTGCTCTGCTTCGTTCCAGCGTCTGTCTCTATATGATATATGAGCCATACCATAACATTTTGATTTTAAGCTGGATCAAACCAATTTTGAGCTGGAATGGACCTGAATAACTCAAATTTGACTTTTTTTTATTTCAAGTCGGATCAAGCTCCATTCAATTTTGAGGCGAGCTAGCTCGAAATTAAATATAATTAATGTGTGCTAGAACATACACAGCGGTAGCGTAATAGATTGTCGTCTTAGTGTTGCACGAGAAGTCATGGCACACTTATATAAAAGAAAATAACCAACAGAGACATCAAACATTATTTTGAAAACTTTGTTAAGGAAAAACCCATGGGTCGTGGCTCAGTTGAAGAGATCTACTATGACTTGGTGATTACAGTTACAATTTCTTGTCTTGTATGTGGGAAATGGTTACGCGGTCTTTTGAGCTACAACGCCGGTAAATGGTCCCGTCACAAAGAAAGGGCGACGACCGATGGTGATCGGTGATGGTTGACAAGATGTGGTAGACAATGGTTGGCGAGTGTCCATAATAGCAGAAGTGATGTTGAACTTCAGGTCCTTATCCATGCTTCAAGCTCTTTTTCATTCTTCAAACTTTTTACCTTCTCAAGTGAGAGGTAGGGATCTATTTACAGATTTTCGTCTTGCTTGTAATTAATAGAACATTATGAACCAGTATGATCGGATGACCCGGAGAGATTTCCAATATCATATTATGTTTCATGGACATTTAAGTGCCTCAACAACCTCGTAATTTAGCGTTCTTAGGCTCGTTAGGTTTGACTTGTTGAGACGCCCGAATTGACTATAAACTTAGCAGATTTACATTTGTTTGACCTTCTAAATATGTCTAGAAAGCTTTCAAAAGTGGTTTAATGGCTTGATCTGAGCTTGATTTGATTCAGATTGGTCTAATTATGGTATCATTATGTCTGTCTCATCGAGCGGGTCAGTTTAACTATAAGTTTGTTGAAATCAGAGCTTTAAAAGACTTTTAATCAAAGTTTGATTAACAAAAAGTTGCCTCAAGATCTATGTCAACAATCGAGATTAGTGTCGAATGATGAGAATTTATTGATGGTATATCAGTGATGAGTCGTGGGCCTATTTCAATCCAAATTCAATTCATATGAGCCGATTTTGAAGCTTCAGTTAACAATACAATTCAGCTATTAATAATATAGCTATGCTGATTTATGTATGAGTGAGGAGATAGCTGTTAGGCAAAAAGATGAAGCGAAGACGGCAGATTGTGCCATAAACAGTTGTGCTATATAATGCATGTACATTTTTCCAAAAAAAAAAAAGAAAACATAATTTTATATTTAATATTTCGTTATTATTTAATCATTCTATTTTTTATTTTTTTCTCGATACTTCTCTCCTGTCGGCTAACTAATGTTTCTGTGTGTAAAGATATGTGTCTATAGATGACGTCAGCGGAGCGGAGTTGTTCTATTACTTCGTGGAGTCGGATAGGAAACCCGAGGAGGATCCTCTCATCCTTTGGCTATCTGGCGGGCCGGGCTGTTCGGGCTTTGAGGGCCTGGCTTTGGATATGGGTAATAAATCGTTTCCGTTAGTCCGTTCAGATGTCTCACCATCAAGTTATTAAATTGAACTTTTAACTTTAAAATTAGTTATGCGGATTCAGAAACTCCTTAATATTATGAAACTTATATTTTTGCTTGACATTCAAGTGATAATTAAAAATAGTTAAAAAATGAGCAAATATGTATATAATTCTTGATGTATTTTATAAATGTTCTCTCTGATTAAAATTCATTGTTCTCAATTAATATTTGCATTCTACATATAATTTTTGTGCACAGGACCTCTTAATTTTAAAGTTGATAATTTTGATGGCAACATTCCAACCATAGTTGTTAATCCTTATTCATGGACAAAGGTGAGAAATTAGTACAATGTACAACTAAACAACCCCAAATATATAAGCATTAACATTCTGCTATAAATTAAATACCACTCATAAGATATTTTGAATTTCAGATTGCTAATATGATCTTCTTGGATTGGCCTGTTGGTACTGGATTCTCCTACTCCATGACTGATGAAGACTATATCACTGAGGATATTCAGGCCAAAGGAAATATCCTTAAATTTCTCAGAAAGGCAGGCCATAGTTGGAAATCTTTATTTAATTTTTATTTTATGCTTTAAGTTTTTACATGATGGAGAGACATTGTGAAAATGAGAAAAATCATTATATATTCAACGATGTAGTGGTTCTTGGGTCATCCAAATTTCATGCTGAATCCTTTCTACGTGGGTGGTGACTCCTATGGTGGGAAGATGGCTACACTTGTTTCTCATGACATTGTTGAAGGTAATTAGTTAGCCAATTTTCTTATAAACGTTAATTAATCTTGTTGTTTAGCTCACGAA